ACCTGACCTTGACATTGACGCCTCCATAAAACTGTACCACGCTTCGTGGATTCCACCAGACTCCAATGATTCTCAGTATAGGTTAATTTTGACCAAATCATTTTTCAAGCAATTTATTCTGAAGCTAAGAGTATTCTTGGAATCACTTTCTTCTGCAGCTATCACCATATGCTGAGTGGCTCTTCTAACATAAATATTAGTAGTACCATTGTCAAACACTGTATTTAACACCCATCTGAACTAGGCTAGTTGAACCCACTCAAACATCACTAAGACCTTTCACAGAGCAACTGAAGAATGCTTAGCAACTCTAATGTCAGAAAAAGAGCTCAGAATGAGCATGCCTCTTATTTAGGTCAAGACAAATGTCAGGGCCAATGAAGGATGAAATGTGATGAGAGAGATTTGAAGTGAAGGGCTGGGGCAACAGGTGCTCAGCCTGGGCTGCTGAAAGACGGAGCAGTACTGCGGAGTACGAAAGGCAGCGATCGCACTGAGAGGAGACAAAGACAAGCCTCAGGCTTTTCGCTGCCAGAGAAACGGATCTTAGACACGAAACTGTTTCAAAGTGGTATCATTAAAGAGGGTGAAATTTGGAGCACCCTTTTGTCTACACAAGTCACGTTTCGAAGTCTCAGTGAAGCAACAGGAACCATTTGAATACTCAGAAGCATGTGTAATTGTTTTGTTAGTGTGTCAACACGAAGGAAAGCTAAAACCAAACAATGCAGAGAAAGAAAACTGAGGTTCCCTAAACATCCTCCGTGTGAAAGGTGCTGTGGTTGGCAAGTTCTCTGCCTTATTTCATGAATGCTATAACAACGCTGTGAGGTGGAATTTACAATTTTGAAGAAGAAAAGAAAAATAGACTGTAAATAGTGAGTGATCTTCCAGCTGAATAAAGAATTTTCTGATTCCAAATTTATAATTTTTGAAATACACTGAGTCAATTTACAAATGGCCTGTCCTTTTAATATGAGGTCATTTATTTGACCATTACTGAATAATGTTGAAGGGGTTTTGGGAAACTTAAACTTTAAAAGGTACTGTGTAGATTTGTATATAGGTTATCATCAGTATAAGTGAGATATGGATAGTAGAATAGATATGAACTTCGGTATTTCTCAAAAATTGCTTCCTGTCTATAATATAACACATAGATGAAATCATATAATATTATCCACCAGTACCAATACATGAGGTAATTTTTAAATCATAGACATCAGAAAATAATAGTGATTTTTGTGCCCCATATGATGAAACAACCTTTACATTTTGGCCAGACAGGTGACTAAACAAGCAGAAGCTCCTACCTAGGCTTAAGGTTTAAATTATTAAATGTTGGTGTGGACTTTGAATAAGAGTGTTTAATTAAGGAGGAGTTTATTTAAAAAATTAGCAAAACATCATCACTGGGAATGATTAATAAGAATCACAGCCACTTGCAAGTGACCTTAATAGAGGAAGTAATGGATTTCTATCCAGCTCTGAACTCCTCTAAGGGAGGGGTATCACTTCCAATGACCTGAGGAGGATTACATGCCTGAGCAGACACTCTGATGGAAAATGGACTCTCTCTGCGACCAGAATAGAATGATCCGGTGTAGCAGGGCCCATAGCAATTGCCAAGAGTCCCTCACTCCCTTTTAGGTTATCCTGAGTCTAGAGACCTGTCTCCTCTCTACTCTACCTAGCTTAACCAAAATGGACCAGGAAAATATGAATAACAGTAGGTGAATAAATCTTTCTGTTAAGCTAGAAAAAAATGTTTAAGTGTGTTTCTGATCTTTGGATAAAATCACAGTGGAAATATGTAAGAACTATCATAACATCTATAGTGCAAGGAATAGCTTTGGGTGAGCATCAAGCTAATTAATAAACAGGTGTAAGGTAGAAGTTAATTTATATGTGTAAGTGGCACCCAACCCATAACCCTCATATATGAGAGTCCTCATGTCAATGAAACATACATTTTACATAAAGACAGAATTTGCAGGTGGCAAATACACTGTGATAAAGGCATACTATTCTAAGGTCAACACAGCAAAAAAAGATTTTAGGGGAAACAAATTATTTCTTATAAAGCAACTCACATTCCCATGACTTATAATAGTTTTTCTCATTGAATACACTTAATAAAACTTTGCTTAAAAAGAAAATTCACCAGGAATTATTTGTCTGTGTATCATTATGAGAAGTTGTTATTAGGCAAAATGATGATACAGAAGGAAGTTTATTCCCAACAATTTCTTCATCTCTAAGCCCTCCTATACCCATCCACATGTTTCCATCCCTGCCCTTCTCTCCAGAAGTTAAGTGAATGAAAACTACCTGGGTCAAGTGAAGAAAGTAACTATATATTTTGCTACCATTTCTTGGTATCATATCTTTTACTAATTGCATCCATGTTCCTCAAACTTCAGCAGCCATCAGAGTCATTGGAGGAATTTTCAAAACACATGTTGATGGGCCCCACCCCCATTTTCTCATCATTAATTTTCAGGTGAGCATTTCCATTTCTAACAAGTGCCTAGGAGATGCTTATGCTCCTGGTCCTTTAAGAACTGAGTTAAAAATGTAATTCACTAGGACAGTATTTAGTCTGGCATCTGGGCACTCAGCAAGCTTTCTATTTTGTTTCATATCACACAAGGTAAATCTAGAATCAGGAAAAGACCTGTAGCCCTATATTAATACAAGATCAATTTTTAAAAAAATAATGTCATAGCTCATGTTGTATAGCACATAAACAAACAACATAAACCAAATATATTTCCAAAACACAAACACAATCTGATCTGAATTAAATTTCCATATTTGTTTGTTACTTCAACCAGATGACGTACAACACGTAGCTCTTTACAGTATTGCTATAGAGCAAATCCAATCCCCAATTCCAGTTTATGTGAGCAGTTAGGTTTCTCTTGCCTTTCCTCATATATTCCTACACACTAACACAAATCATGCCTCCTGTATAACTTCTGATTCTCAAAATTGAACTTACACTAGATCCTATTACCTAAAGAGCAGCCAATGATTCCAGACTCTCTCAGAGAATGATATTGTCCTGTCATTGTCAACCACCTAATAAATATATTAAAGCATCTGGAAATTTTCCAAATTGTCTAAATTTTCTGCCATTCATTTTATTGCATTTTAATTTATATACAAAAAAAGAAATCATAACTCTTGAACAAATACACATTTTTTCTCTAAACAACTCATTCTTCTAGCCATTTACTAATTGTCCATTTCTACTACTGCACAAGAATATATTGTAAGGCTTTCTGGAAGAGTAGGAAATATTTTTTAAGGTGACATATTTTGGTGTTACACAAGTTAAATAACTCACAGTCATAAGTAACACATGGTTTAAGCTTAGTAGATACAATATGTTTAAATGTGGCATAATTTTGATTAAATAACTCTTAATAATTTAGTAGCATGATGTTAAATGTGGAAATAAATAGGAACTCTTAAAGACTGATGTTCTGTATAAAAACAGTCTACAATTATAACATATTATAAAATAATATAATTCAAGTATTATAAAATTTCAAAAAAAGTCACTGTTTCTTCACTGTAATCATAGAAAAATTAGGAAGAAAGCCCCATAATTCCTATGCAGTTTTAACTGGACCATATTATTTTCAGATTCCTAATTTCAGTCACTCAATTTTTCTCTACTTACTCCATTTCCAAGTTCTTTCTCTTAGCATTTTCATCAAGTAGTAATTTTGTCAAAAGCCCTGCTCTTTAGTAAGATATAAAAATATTGGTGAAGGAATCTATAAGTTTAGAACAATTCATATTTACTATTATGTCATCAACTCTGTAGTAATCATGTCCAAAATAAGTAAGATAATCAATATTCCTTTCTTCATCTAAAATATCCCAATTTCACTTTTCATGTCTGGCTAACTAGGAAGCTACTTCTAACTTAAAATGATATATATTTTACATCCAGTGTAAATGACAGAAACAAACTGTTTAAATAGCCTGATGATGATGATAATGATGATAATAATTTTTGTTACTTAATATGTTAAGTAATATCTCCAAAGTATTTCATTTTTAATATCAACAAACATTACCAGTAAGTGAACCCAAACACACATAAAACACTACATTGTTGATGCAAAATATATAGATATTTATTTAGAATAATTAAGACTTTAAACTCCTTTTTCCCACTGTGGGATGATGACTAATTGCTAATTAGCACATTTTGATATCAGGCACACATGGCACAATTCATGATTAGAAACTTGGTAACAAAAAGCCTTCCACCATAGTCATTACAAACTATGAACTGTATGAATCAATAAGATGTCGGTGGGATTGCAAGGACCAGTTTACAAAACAAATTTCTACACAGTGTTTTTGTAGCAAGATGGTAATACTAAGTTGTTAGCAATTACCTATCTCCAGCCTTAAGGGGGGAAATATCATTAATGGCATTACAAATTCTGAGAAAGAAGTACAAGTGGCATTTAGTGAGTTACTAAACAAGAGCAATCAAAACTGACTTAATAAATTAGGTATGTTTTTCTGAAAATAAAGAATTGTGCAAAAGACTAGATATAACTGAGAGTTATACTGAGAGTGAGAGTTATACTGAGAGATTTACTGAGAGTGAGAGTCGCAGAACTGCAGAATTAGATGATATGGTCCACCGTCCACCTGAGACCACTGAACATGACATTCTTAAACCTGCTTCCTATCTCAGTTTTCAGTCACTGAGCATTTCCCGCACAGTGTACTTCTGTTCAGCTGAGATAACAGCATTAAGGTACCCCTCAGCCTGCACTCACACTCTCTGTAAGTGAAACAAGGAAATCAGAGGGCATGATTTCCCATAAGATGAATAAAGAGTAGATATTTAAATACAGTATTCCTCAACATAACACATATCACAGTAACCACACAGACATATGTGTGTGTCTATAATATTATATTGATAATGACAGTGTAGTTGTTATTTTATATATTTTCCTTACCTGTCAAGTTCTTCAGTCCAAGTTCCTGAAGTCCAAAGTTGCCATCTTTTCTGTAGTTTAAAAATATTGCCAGGGCATACCGATCCTCGTAAAGTTTTGTCCCACGAATAATGCGTAAGTTCTCCAGAGGCAGGTAACGAAACTGATTCAGAGCCACTAACACATAGCCTGTGACTTCCCGAATAGACTGAAAAGATACAAACAAATGCCTCTGTTAAAATATTAAAGATCACTTGTCAGTAAATTCATGTAATCATTCAATTATATTTTTCAGTTTTAATAATATATCCATTTCCACATTATATTATAAATAATGGCCTTGACAATACAAGATCACAAAGAGTTAAAATCTCATTTGAAATATGAGTTTCATATTTTTAAAGGCATGAATGTGCCTATGATAAAATAATGGATTGTGTTTTATGAAGCATTCTTCATACCTAAGATCTGAATATAATTCAAAGCATAAAGGTATCATTTTTTGACAGACTAAAATGAGTAAGATCACATAACCATCAATCAAACTTTATATAAAAATGCAAATTAGTAAGCTTATCACGACTAAAACAAAGCTGTATCTGTTTGTAAATTGTGGGACAGATTTCAAACTGCTAATTTGAAATCTGTCCCATAATCTATCAGTACAGCTATCAAAGAAGAGTTGCCTTGTATGTCACTGGGGAACACATAAAAACATGCATTATACACACTGTGGCCAATAATTTGATTATAAGCACATTTTTAGTTTTACTGTCTATTTTAATGTAGTCATCTATGAGTTAATTAACTGAAGTTTTGTGAGACATTTTAAAGCAAAAAAATCACCCCAAAAAAGGTTTAGGTTTCATTAAAAGGGGTAGTTATTCAGTAAAAAAGAACATGATCATAATGACAGTTATGAGCATGTGTTACATTTTTTAAAAACAGTAAGTAAACTGAAAAATTACTAAAATACTTTATATTATTCCAATGTCAAGTTCATGTTATTTTAGACCTCTTAACCGCAGATGCCCAGGGCTCTGTCCCTGGTGCTCTCATCTCTCTCCACTCGCTTGGTGATCTTATCCAGTTTCAAGGATGAGAATCTCCAAACTGTTACCTCCACACTCTCTCTGAAACTCCAGACTCATGGCCAACTTTCTTTCTTCCATCTCCCCTTAAATGTCTAATTCATTTCTCAGACACAACTATTCCAAAACGACCACACATCTTTCTTCCACTATCCCTCCAGCAGCCTCTCTTATTTTGGTTGCTTGTCCAACATCTTGAGATCATTCTTGACTCTCCTCTCACACACCCAATGCAATCCTTCCTGTTTGTTCTGTATTTAAAATGATCGGGATTTCTACCATTTCTTATGTCAGCCATTGCTATGGTCCCCTGAGCCACCAACACTCCTCATTAAGCTTACTGCAGTAAATCTCTCTGTTTATACTTTTATTTGGGGGGGATTATTAAAGACGGGTAAATTTATTTTTTTGCATTTTTTTTTACTATTCAAGTGTAGTTGTCTCCATTTTCCTCCCACCCCAGCCATCCCCACCTCCCACCCTTGATTCTACCCCACTTTGGTTTTGTCCATGTGTCCTTTATAGCTGTTCTGGAAAACCCTCCCCCTTTCCCCGCCTTTATCCTCTCCCACCTCCCCTCTGGTTACTGTTAGTTTGTTCTTAATTTCAATGTCTCCAGTTATATTTTGCTTGCTTATTTGTTTTGTTGATTAGGTTCCACTTATAGGTGAGATCCCTTATGGTGTTTTCTCTGTTAAGGCTACCCCTGATCTTTAAAACATAAATCAAATCATGACACTTAAATTCTTAAAATCCTGAAACATTTCCCAAGTTACTCAGAGTAATACAAAGGTCTTCAATGATGAGTCAAAATCCCTATCTGGTTTGCCCCATGCAGTATGCACTAGCCATGTTTGCCTATTAAGCATTTGAAGTATAGCTAGTACAGATTGCAAGATGTGTGGCAAGTGTAGAATACACTCTTGATTTCAAAGATTAAGTATTGAAATTACATTTTGAATAAATTGAGTTGCATAAAATGTATTATTAAAGGTAACTGAGACCATTTCTTTTTACCTTTTTATTGTGGCTACACAAAAATTAAAATGATGTTCTTTGTGGCTATCATCATATTTCCTTTGGATAGTGCTGCACGGTATGATCTGGCCATCAGTTTGTTTTTTTTCTGACTTCTCTTTTCAACTCTTCACCTTGCTCATTCTATGCCACTTTCGTTGGTCTCTTTGTTTACTTCCAACATGACAACTGCAGTCCTGTCCCAAGGTGCTCACTATACTCTTAAAGACTTAAGTTTCCCTTGCTGTCATTATCTTCTTGGCTAATTTCCTCAGAGCCTTCAAGTTTCTGATGAATCATAACTTACTCAGTTGAGGCCAACACTCCTACCTTTCACCTGCTCTAACTTTTACTGTTTCTACAATACTTCTCACATGCTAATGCACGATACAGTTTGTATATTTATTACATGTAGTATTTATAGTCTATCTGTCCCAGAATATAAGCTCTACAAGGACAAGGACATTGATTGTTTAATCATGTGCCTCATGTGACCGGAGTAGCACCAGCATACACATAAGAAACCAGCAAATATTTGCTCAGCACTCTGGCTCTTCTGGCCACACCTTTACCACAAAGCAAACTCTGTGGAGTCAAGAGAAGCACCCATCTGGAGTCAGCACCCATTTTTCTAGACCGTGCTCTGAACCCCTGTGATCCTAGAGCTCCATTTCCAAATATCCCCGAGCCCTCATCTTGGGCCAGTGGTATCATCTCTCCCAGTTCTGTCCCAAAGACAGTAGGTGCTGCCCCCAATGTCCACGCACCTAGGAAGGATGAATGGTCCAGAGGCCCATGTTTGAGGGGTGAGTGCATGGGGTTTGGGTCTGTGGGCTAGAGTGTGCATTCAGTTGTGTTGCACGGGCTCTCACAGTGCAGGCTGTCCTCTAACCGGACAGAACTGGTTAGAGGACAGCCTAAGGGTCAGAATCCATTTCTCTGTGTGACACAATATTCTTGAGAAGCCCAAAAAATTCTAACACTTTACCTGCCATCCAGTTGGTATAAAAATATATCTGCCAAAATGGAAGATAAAATATTTTATGTAATACTGCTTTGTTTATAATAAGTAATAAGACATAAATATGGAGGCCCCCATTTATACATTTCCGCAAGTCTTAAGAGTGAGCATGCTACCGATAAACACCTGGAAGAATAGAATCCTGATGGAGCAAAGGTGCAGACAAAGAGGAAAGGAACATATGAAACTACTCGTGTTTGGCACCAGCTGGGAATTTTGAGTCACTGGGAGCAAGCTCAGATGTTGTGCATTTTGAATGGAAGAGATGAGAGCTAGGGAAATTTAAAAGAAGGGTTAAAAGTCACAGTGACATGCATTGTTCGTTTATCACGGTTTGTCTGAAATCACACCTGCCTGGAATAATCCAGCCTTAGAGCCCTCCAAGTCCTTTAAATGGTTGAATTGTTATCCCTTTGAATTCTTAGAACTGTTATGCCTTTAAATTCTTAGTAGAGAGATAAAATACTTTGTAAGATCATTTGGTCAAAAGACTAAAATCATTTCATTCATTGTGAAAATAGTTTACCCTTCAATTTATATACAGCAATTATCAAGTGTTTTAGGTTGTAATAACAGCACTAAGATAAATGTTGGGGATGGAGGATGTATTATTAATTGATCTGTTGTCTAAAATATGTCTTAATATCTATCGTAATTTCAAATAGGCTCTCCATTAGCTCTAATTCCACTTAGGAAGTGATTCTTCTTATCAAAAGCGGCACGAATTCATTGCCTTATCACGTGATGAAGGAATACATAAATGGGGTTGTCAGAAAAAAACACAGGTGAAGCACACTCAGGTGAGAAAAATAAAGGGGCTTATGAGCAAAGAAGCAAAGTCTATAGCAATTTTACAGTGTGTTAGGGGGATAAACTCTTCCTAGCTTTGAATAGATAAAGGTGAGCCACCCAGCAGGGATTTTGGACCACACATGAGGAGAAGCTACAAATAGCCAGCAAATAATCAGGGCTGTAGTATAAGAAGCATTATAGGTATGGACCATGAATGACGCTGAACACGTAGAGAAGGATCAACTCAATATTGAAAAGGAAGTTCCAAGCACCTTTATTTACAAGAGAAAGTAATCCATAAATAAGAACATCTTTGCATTCACACATTATTTAATATACTTATATTTAAACTGTATTGTAAAATGTACATATTTCTAATTTGAGAATATTCATTAAATTTTTCTTAGAAAAAAATTTGTTGGTTTTATAAAAAGTTCAGGTTAAAGCAAGAATTACTTCTTTGTTGAGATTCAGAGACTGGAGGAATTGTTTATTATAACAGATTCTGGCATTTGAAATGAGTCTCTTTTATAGTATATTCTGCTTCTTATTCTCAGGTCTTGCAAAATAGCATATGCAATTTAAACATTAGCTTAACAACGATCCTTTTGCTATGTGAACTCTGGACATCATTATATGTTAATTCTGAGGATGCATATGTTTAATCCACTTTGAACAAGGCCACCAGTTAGTAGGCAATACGTAATTCACCCATAGTGAATTATTTGATGATAATCATGGTGAAGACCCTATTCAATTTATCCCTTATATCCTTTTCTCTTACCCAGACAAATAATATAAATAATACAGGGAAAAGATAATAGCAAATCTCTCAACTGAAATTAATTGCTCTAATGTTTCATGTTAGAGGGCTCATAAGAGCAAAGGATTTTTAAAGAATTATAGAGGATAAATATAAAATTTGTATATTTAAAAGCAACAAATTATGCCTTGATTTCCATCACCCAAGTTATCTGTTTTTCTGGTATTCATAATCACGGCCTTTTGGGTACTTTTAATGCCTTTCTGTGAACAAACACCTTGAAATATCTCAACAAGAAATCCCTCTGCTGATAACATGAGCTACAATGCACAGTGATTGTAAATAAAATCACAGGAAACAGTAATGGTTGGATTACTTCCAGTTTAATGCTGCAAAGATGTAACAGTTTGATCATGACTCTAATAAATATATCTTTTTAAAAATGTGCTGTGTAAAGTTAGTCTACTCTGAAGCTATCAGTGTGAAGTGGGAATTCCTTCAGAGTGATGCCAGGTTCCATTTGA